TCAGCCTTTCAACTCTAGTTTGAGTAGTAGCCCTGATACTTTCCCAGGCTCCCAGGCCTTGATGGGCTGAGGTTACACCATTGGTCTTTCTTATTTGGAGGCTTCCAGCTTCCTGGACTGAACAGCTACTAGTTTCTTTAGCTCTCAGACCTACAGCCACTGTGGGACTAACCAGCCTTTTTCATGTAAGCCAATCTAATAAATTCTCTCTCATAATTCTAAACCAAACAGCCAACCACCTAAACAAATGAACAAAATAGAAAACTCTTGAGCCAGAATCCACATGGAAATATCTCTTTGCTAATTTAAACACTGCAATGTGAAAGCTGTTAGTAAAATTCTTGTACAATTGAAATATCTTAAGACAACTACAACTATCTAGTGTATGTTATGAGTTCAGTATCTCTCTAGGGCAGTGGTTCTCAACCTTCCTAACTCTGTGACCCTTTGATACAGTTCCTCATGTTGTGGTGACCCCCAACAATAAAATTATTTCATTGCTACTTCATAACTGTAATTCTGCTACTGTTATGAATAATAATGTAAATATCTGATTTGTAAGATATCTGATATGGGACCACAAGGGGTTGAGACCCAAAGTTGAGAACCGCACTGATCTAGGGTGACTAGATTCTGTGCCACTTTCAGACACAGTAAGAAGTGGTCAGCTGTGGATTTGGTCACCTGATTTTCCTGTCATTGATCTCAGAATCAAAGGACATCCCACAGGTTGAGGCATGCTGGAGGGGGGCCGGCCAGCCTTGGGGAGGGCTTGAGAAAGAGGAAGAGATTTTGAGATAGCGCTTTTCATTGGCTGAGAATTTACCAAGTAGTTTAGACTGGTTCTCTGTAGAGCCCTGGGAATCTACCTATGACTTGTGACACTTGTGATTGCAAGTGTGCACCATGGTTGGCTTTTTCTGTGGGTTGTGAGTGTGGAACTCAGGTCCTTATGGGGCAAGTAGTTTACTGAGTCATTGTCTCAGCCTCCATGTTAAACACTTTCAAGTATCACTCCTCAGACATCACTGTCAGGACTCTTTGTTCTTACTAACACTGATGAGTATTCACACAGCTTTGAGAGTTGTATCTTTCAGTAGCTACTATGTTAGGAATTAAAACTGAGAAATCCGACTACTCAGAACACTGAGGCAAGAGGATAGGAAATTAAGATCTTACTTTAAAATAAAAATTTTAAGAATGTCTGGTTACAATACTTAGTGGTAAAATATTTGCCTGGCCTTCGAGAGGCCCTGGGTTCAACTTCAGCAGCAAAACCTCCAAAACAATACAACACACCACAACACACAATACAACACAACACAAAACAACACAAAGCACAAACACAACACCCTATACCACAAACACACCACACCACACAATACAACACAAACACAACACAGCACAAAATACAATAAAAACACAACGTACCACACAATAATGCAACACAACACAAAACAACACAAAGCACAAACACAACACCCTATACCACAAACACACCACACCACACAATACAACACAAACACAACACAGCACAAAATACAATAAAAACACAACGTACCACACAATAATGCAACACAACACAAAACAACACAAAGCACAAACACAACACAAACAGAAGCAACAACCTAGGACCTGAGGACTTTAACAAGATATATCTGTTGATTCATTTTAAATTAACTATAATCAAATTTACTGTAATTAATAGAGTTTTAGTGAAAAACTCTACAAAGAGTAAGAACATAGGTACTGTCTTTACTTTTTGCCAAGTGTCTTTGGTTCACGGAAGGAAGCAGTTTCTTGTGTTCATCTGTATCAGTCCACTGAAAGAGCCTAAGAACATCCAGCCCCACACAGGCATGTCCTTGGGAGAAGGAGAAATGCTTAAGTGGCCTTTTAGGTGCTTCTGAGCATTCTTGGGTGCAACACCCAAGCTTGACACACAGTAGTCTGCTAAGGGTTAGCTGCAGTGTGACCCAGAAACCACATCCATGAACTTTCGTTCTATCATATTTTTTCTATCAGTAAAATCTATTATTAAATGTTGTGGTTTGAGTGGATTATTACTCATGTATGGTTTTGTGCCACAGTGCATTGGTCATTTGGAAAACATTGGTTCAGTGAGTCATTCAGATGATCACACATTAATTATCCGGCATTGAAAAGTCACACACACATTAGTATTTCTGTCAATATCCAGAGAAAAGACTTCTAGCTTTGAGAGAGATGTCAAATACACATGAATATGCTAAAAATTCTTCTCAGTTTTGAACTCTTGAATCTTATCATTGGGTACAGACACTGTCAGTTGTCTTCATCGGCAGTGGAGCCTCAGTTTGTTAGAGAAAATGCCTGCCACAGGCTCAAGTGGATGAGCACAGCTTGCTATTCATGCTTTTCTGTTAGAACACCATCCCATGAGCCATGCAGTTAGCTCATGTGCTTTCCCTTGGGGCGGCTGTGCTGGATGTAGAGCAGAACTGCTTTGCATAGGTTTTTCATTTAATTACATAGAGTGCTAAGAGGAATGGACTGGAGGTCAACATTTAATGAAAATAATAGTTTCATTCCAAAATGGCCGGTGCACAGCAGTGAGGGCCCTATGGAGAGCCATGGCGTGATCTGTCTTGATGCTAATGGATCTCCTCTTGTGTTCCATCATCAGCTCAAGAAACTGTTCCTACTATCAGGGTCAGGGTTTGACCTAGCTGACCCCCGTGTGGTTCTGTGAACTCCTAGGGAGCCCTGGGTCACTCTAAGAAGTGAAATTGGTGGTGATGGACTTAGGTATATGGATGGCCACATCCTGATGGAGGTGTTGTAGTGCTAAGCTGGAGGACAGGCCCCCGTGAGTGCTCCTTAGCCTGGGCTTTCTCATTTTCACTGTGTTGATCTTTTAATTGACTTTACTTAATATCTGGACCTATCTATCATCCATTGCCATTCAGATGATTTCTAGCATTTCCATTTGATATTTCCTAATAGTTCATTCTCTTTGGTGACATTTCCCATTCATTAATGCATGGTATTTACTTTTATACTAAAGCAGGGTGTGGGGATTTTTACTTAAAGAGATGGAGAGCAAATATTTCATCTTGGGGTTGTGTAGTTTCTGTTCAGCTCTTCATCTCTTCATTTCTGCTGTTAGGGGCAAGTGTCCACGGGCAGTGGGAAGAAATGGCGTAGCATAGGCAACCAGGCAGCAGGCTAGACTGGCCACAGGCTGCCTTCTGCTTGCTCCGGCGTCAGTAGCTAATATTTGATGAGTGCTGTCTAGAGTCCTCTCTTGGAGGGTTTTAGGATTCAAGATACATCACTATCTGGTCCCATGTGTGGCTTCATGACTTCTTGGTGGATCATTTTTCTTGCTTTTGCATGTATTTGAGAAAATTTACTTAAAATCACGTGTAGTACATCGTGACAACCCCCCCCCCCTCGCCCGGGTGAAATGCCTAAAAATAAATATTTTAGATGTCATGGACCTTATCAGTGGCTCACAGCTCCTCAACTCTATTGAATGACAGGTACAGATGCAGATAATACACGAGCTTGACTGCTGCCTGCTTGTATCCTAAGAAACAGTTATGTGCAAAAGCAGGCATAGGGTTGGACTTGACATACCCAGGCTGTGTAGACTGAGGCTGACAATATCTCTGCCATGGAGCACAGCCACCTCCTCTTCCATTAGGGCCTTAGAAGGGCCTTGAATCAGCCCAGACAGGAGGTTGGTTCAGTGATGTTGTTGCTATGGTTACTCAGCTATTACCCTGTGCTGAGTGCATGCCTGGTGTTCAGGGAGATATATTGTCTCGTGTTCTGACCTCGGCCCTGCCCCTGTTAGCTGTCACTGATGTTTGGTGGCCTGCCCGTTGTAGGTAGGTGATGCCTTTTTTTTGTGTGTGTTTGGTTTCAAGCTTCATGTCCATGCGGATTGGTCCCTTAGTCTAGAGGTAGGATTTTCCAGTTGTCCTGTTCTTTCCTAGTGGTTGGGGATATGCCACAGTCTGGGTGCGGAACTGCTCCTTGCTGCTGTCCCAGAGTGGAGACAGGGCTTTGTTCCACTTCCTTCTCCACCTCTAGTGAACCTGCACCAGTGCCCTGAGGGGGGCGGACTCTGCTGTCCTCCTCTTGGTGCAGAGGGTTCCTGAAGCACTGCCTCTCTCTCTTCTGGATGACCTCATAGTAGGGCCTTTCCTGTTCCCTGAGAGCACCCAGAGAGGTGTACAGGGGAGAGCCTAGGCAAGACATGTGGGAGATTGCCCAGGTCAAGGTGCATTCTCTCCTTGCTCCCCCAGATTCTGTGAGCTCACCATGTAGTTGCCTGTAGCTCATGGATACTCCTGGAAGAAAGCCTCTGATGACCCTGTCAGGCACCCTTGCCACTCTCCTGGGCCTGTCGCTGGAAAACTAGACTCCAGTCATGTATCTTCAGGGCTGTATCTTCACTTGTGATATCAGCTCTTTGATGGGTTTAACTTAAAATTTGTGAATTTATCTGGTTGCTTAGAGGAGGGAGATACTCTCCAGTTTTGTGGCTTCTGAGTTGAAGCAGGGTAAGTTTTGATGTAGAACATATTTGGAGGATATATTGGTTGTAGAAAGCTTGGAGTGACCAATTTGGCCTACTGATGGCTTGAGTGCCTCCATGCTGGTCCCTATCTTGGTGGCTAAGTGTCCCTTAAAGTCAAGCACTCAGGACAGTAGCTCAGAAGAACCTAGAGCTCATGTGGATGGTAGTAATCTCACAGACTTCTTATACCTCAGTCTGATATCTAGGCTCATGCAGACTCATGCTGACTTTGGCTGGCTAGGAGAGGTGGTGACTTCTTAGTGCTGACTCCTGGGTTTCGGCAGGTCATCTTGGATGTCTTCTGTGGACTGATACTTGGTGGACCATGTCTCAGGTTTCTGCCATAGTTGAATAATCCAGTCCTGAGGACTTCTTGCTTTTGGACAGAGGGAGAAGTATTAGCTGCTAACATGACTGGTTTCTATTTCAGGGAGACCATTCACGAATGTCTTTTAAGAAAAGGTTTCCCTTAAGACACTACAGAAAGAGAAAAGGTATGTGATGTAGATGTTGAAGAAATAGAAAATGTGTACACTCTGTAAAAACCCAGCTGCTGCATGAGAATGTGTGTAAGATCCGACTGTGAACAGCTAGTGTACAACCGGCTAAGCATGTCTCTTGAAAAATCCTTTAGAATATGCAGAGAACACATCATAGGGAAAATATCTAACTTCCTGCCTAACTTCTCCTCTCTCTACCATAAAACTGCCACAATAATATCACTCAGTTATACATTCCTTTCCTAATTTTTCATAATTGTAGGGCTTAACATATTTTTCTGCATTTGTAGTTTATTTGTTGGTGTTTTAAGATAGGATCTAACATAACCTACGCTGCTCTGAGCTTCTAACTCATTGCCTCCAACTTCTAAGTGCTGGGATCACGAGGCTGCACCACTGTGTGGGTCTGCATTGTTGTTGAAAACCAGTTCCCTAGAAGTAGTGTCCACTGTCTGACTTCCTGGTGCATCACAGTAGCTACTGGGGGTAGGAAAATGACATTGTGCTTGGGGCAATATTTGGGGGGACTGTAAAGACCCTTTAGAGGTGTTTGATAGTTTATAGATGAGGAAACTGAGGCAGAGAAGTTAGATACTCAGCCCAAGGCTATTTCCTGCAGCACTGAACTGGAAGGTAGCCAGAGCTCAGTCATAGAATCCTCTGAGACGTCAAATTCCTGCTGTGGGTAGGAATAGGAATCACAGCAGCCAATGTGTATGTGCTGGCCAAGCTCTCCATCCATAGCACCTATGCTTTCTGAGTGTAAGCCGTTTTTCCAAATCAAGTACGTGCAGTCCCTCTTTTAAAAAATATAGGGCACAGCGATTAATGTCCCAGGAGGCAATAGTGTTCTGTGAGATCACCTAGCAGAGGGTCACTGGACACCATGGGGTACCATCTCCCTGGCTTGTCTTTCTATCTCTCTCCACTTACTTTTTTTATTAGGTGGCTGCTGGTGTGAGGATGAAGGACAGACAGAGAAGCACTGTCACCAAGTGAGGGAGGTGTAGGCTCTGCTGAGGGTTAGGTTTGGGTGAGCTGCACTCTCAGCATGTGGACAGCTGCTGCCTGGTACATGGTGTTGGCTGACCTCCCTTAACATCTGTGTGGTCAGAGTTAGACAGGATAAACACCGAGGGGAGCCTTGAAGGAAGAGGTGGTAAGGAGCAGCAACAAGTCCATCTGTGGAAATGGGAGCCCTTGGATCTTGTGGGGTACAAGAGGCAGCGTGGCAGCATCTGGGCCAGGAGGAGAGAAAAGAAGAGAGGGGAGAGAGAGAGAGGAGGTGAGGGTGTGAGGAGGGAGGGAGGGAGGGAGGGAGGGAGGGAAGTGGGGGAACTCTTCTAAGGGACACAGGCTTCCTGGAGCATCACACTTATAGTGTGTGGGCTATTTTGGCTTTTAATGCTAACATTTCACTATAATTGTTGACATTCCGTTGATCAGGCGTGGAATTTGCAGTGAATGCCGAGTCACCTTTGGTTTTCTACTCTGCCTGGTACTGTCAGGGACAAACACAGATAAGATTATCAGAGAACCTTTTTCTGTTTTTAAGAAAAGAGGTTTACAGAGTGGACCCCTCAGATATTAAGACACGAAGGTGGCATTTGTACCCAGTTGGAGGAGAAGTGTGACCTCTTGGTTTCCAGAAACGAACCCACTTGTCATGTCAAGTAAGTCCTTGGTGGAGGTGTCCATTCAGCCCAGAACTGGGTCTGACCTGCTTTCTCTTTCCTTCCCATTGTTTGAGTTTTAACTGAGAGATGCTTCCCGGTGCCTCTGCACCAGAAATACAGGAGCTTGAGCAAAGTCTTCCTGTAGCCTTCCTCTCCACACCTGTCCCGCCCCTTTCCAGTCGTCATAGCGCCCATGAAGTCCCATATACGTGTATTGAGACTTAAATTTGTGAACCATGCATTGAGTCATCAGCTGCTATAATCTGAAAATCGGTACAGGTTCTAAGATGCCTTTGTGGCAGCCTTGCTGAGGACTGTTCTCCTTTCACCCAGGAGAGAAGAGTTTGTCCCTCGCAGACTCCATGGTCAGTCCATTCCCGTGCTGGCTTGCTGGGGGGCTTGTGTCCCCAGGGGCCACCTCTTTGATTGCAAGCTGCTGTGGGTCATTCCATACTGTCCTCCAGAGCAGCTGTTGACCAGGTGCTGTGAGTTCTTATGTTTATTTCCAAGTGCCCAGCTGCCCTGAGGGCGCCACAAATATCTCTGAAGTTCAATTACAGTCTCCAAGCTCCGGAGTGCTTTTTTCACCCAGGCACATTAGACAGGGCTGTCGAAGGTCATCAGCGACCCGGAGGCCACCAGAAATTGTGGCCCAGAACTAAGATTTATTTGGGAGTAGGGAATCAACCATTTCACACTTGACCTGAAAAATGCCTCTTTCCTTGGGACGGCTGCAGCTGTTAGTGGCCATCCACTCTCTTAGATGTGGTCCTGGGGAAGATGTGTGTCTCCCTGTTCTAACTTGTTTGCAAAGCACCATGGCACCTTACATTTTGTGAGATCTGCAAGTTATGTTTTCTCCAGGGGAGTGAGGCAGTTTCAAGACCCAAAGTTTAATTCAAGGCAGTAATAAGTTTTCCTTAGCTCACTGGGGATAATTTTTGCCTGTATTTTGTTGTACTTATTTTTGTTTGTTTTTGAGATTAGGAAGTAGAAGGATAGACAGAAAGCAGAAACAAATGAGACAGACAAAAGGCCACCCCAACCCCCCACTGAGATCTTTAATTGGCTTGGCATTTCTTCTAAGAGCAGTTGGGTCTGGGGACCAGGACACTGCACAGTGTGATGCGTGCTGGACACACCTCTTCCTCTGCAGCATAGAGGCAAACACATTTTCTCACTTTCTAGTTCCTTTGTGCACAGAAAATTCAGAGTCTCCAGGCAGAGCCTCTTTAGGCCACGTTTCTATCCCGCTGGGCTTCATTAGGTACCTTGTTTTGGGTTTCTGTGATTGAGTCAATCTGGTAACTAAGACATTGTCAATAAATGAACTTGCTTTTTGATGACTTGTTATGATTGTCCTCAAAAGCGCTACAAGCATTGGTTACAGTTGGGGTCCAGGAGTCCAGGAGCCGTGTGAAGCAGGGCAGGGCCTGTGTCATGGACCAGCTTACCTCACTGGTCAGCAGTGTCATGAGGTGTTTGTTTTGACAGACTCCTTTGGCTTGCAGTGACAGCTTGTTCCAAGAAAAATGAATCGTAATGACATTTCAGTTTCTCTTTTTGTCCTGGGGTAAAGTCACATAGACTCACCTCTCTGACCCAGGTGTCCTCTTTCTGTCCCTGTGTTTTTAATTTACCATTAGAGTGATCCTAAGCAGAATGTTGTATTGCTGGGTTTCAAGACCCCCCCCCCCAAGCCCCTAATCTACCACAAAAGAATATTTCTGAGTCCTTTCCTTTCCTATCAGGTAGCCAGAGGGTAAAACTTGCTGCTTTCAGGAGCTTCAATCAGGTATTTACATACGAGTGTAAAAATAAGCCCACATACCGACTTCCTCTGAAGCCTCGTGGCTTTGCACCTTAGTTGCAGGTAGAGGTCATTTTTGAAGAGAAGCTGCCTGGGAAAGCAGCTGGATGTGGGGGCTGCAAGGCAAGTACCACCCAGGCACCAGCACCAGCACCACCCAGGCACCAGCACCAG